TCATCTTTTCTTCGCTGGGATCCATTATCATCTCAAAGTTCATTTCCGAACGCAACAACCACGCATGAATTCTTCAAGACTCATCTACTTACCAAGACCAATGGATACTCTTTGTGCATCTTGTAGATCTCGCATGATATGTCGCGATCGGACTGGAGCAACGCTTCCTGTTGATGCAAACACATGTGCAAACAGCATCTGAAATGAAAAATTTAAACCGGAAAATACTGAACCACAGGGAGTAATATATCGAAAGCAATTATGGAGCAGAACCCCTATTCCGAAATGAGACATGATGAAGCCCGGCAAATATACATATTGCATACAATTACTGGAAATGGATGTGGTTGTCTCCGGTGAGTTAGGTTAGTGTTAGACTTTGCGATGTGAGAAACTGGCACTAGTTTACCATTAGCGATTTCCGCTATTGCCGCGATTGCTGAGACGATGGAAATTGCTGAATCGCAAAGCAATGCCTCATATCCAAGTGCAAGATTTCTTTTCGAAGGCCCACCCGCCAATCTCGACCTAAGAAGGTACGGTTAAGTTGGGGTTGGAGCAGGGAACTGGGTCAGGGTTACGGTAAGGAGAGGATTAGGCTAGGGCTGGGGCAGAACTTCGGAGACCCAGCTTACGTTCGGTCGTGAGGTACTACTTTGCGTAATTTCAGCCATTTCAACCAATTTAAAGACCGTCGAAAATCGCCGGGAACGTGGCAGAATCTGGCAAACTAGAGGCACCCCGCTGCCAATCGCAATCTTAGAGCAGTCTACACCCCGTGGGAGCTTGAAGTACGCTTTTACGCCAACACGCGACATGTCACTTTTTTCAGAGACGATTGGGCACTATTTACCCTTTTACTGCCCCACTTTTCGAGAAATGAGCCGGATTTTATCGAAATTTGTCCATGACGTGGATATGGCTAGAAATCTGCCTTCAGAGGTAATTTGATCCATAGAACACAAACATCGCATTCGTTTACCACTAGAACGCCTGGCGCTGGCGTCAGAAGCGCTGGCACTAAAAGGCGCCAGAACATCTTGGATCACTAAATTCGCTGGAAACTTGTCTCCAAAGGTACTTTGAATCGTGGAACATAAATATCACATTAGTTCTACGCGAGTGAGCCTGTAGCCTGTTAGACCTGCAGTGGTGGCGAGCGTGAAAGGCGTGCCGCACAAACTGGTTGGTGAGGGGAGCGCCGAGGTCTGCGTGGCGTGGCGCAAGCGTTTGTCGCGCTAAAAAACCGGTATGATATTCGTGTTCTACGGGTCGAAATACCCCGGAAACAACTTTCTAGCCAAATCCTTAGTCATGGACGAATTTCGATCAAAATCCGGCTCAGTTCTTGAGGAGTGGGGCAGTAAAGTGTAAATAGTGCCGTTGTTTGAAGTACAGTAAGAAGAAAAATTAGATCTCCAGAACACCTAGATTCTTGCCATCAGAACTCATTGAACTGATGAGGAGGTTCAGATTGTTTGCCAACACCTGTTATTCTTTATTTCTGAGATGGTTTAGGCTGCAATTTGTGTCCCTTGACAAAAGGCGGTCTTTGTCAGAAAAGTTTCAGGATCACCTAAGAGGTCCACATTAGGGATAGTCCTGTCCCCCTGTGACCGAAAAGATCATCCCAAGGATACTATTCGGAATTAACACTACCAAAGAACGGCACCACATGAAAGAAGGCTCAACTGATATACAGACTTTCCGTTCAGAGCGAGAATTGTAAACACCTGCGGAGTTTCGTGCGTACCATTTGAAAAGGCGCTTTTTTCTTGCCATAATTACTTCGTTACCATATTTATGGCGCACGCTGTAATTTCACTCATACAAACACACCGCTCCTTGAACTTCTGCTGTTAACAACACTAATCTTGAATTCTGAACTGGATTGAACGAAGTTATTACGACTGCATGCCGAAATTACCCTTACACTCAGCGCCACATTGCGAAAAATGCTTCCCAGATAAATAAACACCGACGAAATTTAAACCATCCACTTAGTAAAAACTAAGAAGAGATTGAAAATTAAATCCTCTTTAAAGTTATCTCTTATCTCGTTTCATTCACTGAAAGTTCTTGCGCAGCAACTGAAGTACTTAGAAGCTCCTATGTTTGGATGCATTGGAAACCCAAATGTCAGTAAAACAATATTTAACAGGATCTTCCTTCTCGTTTTTAATAAGGCAATCAAGAAGAAACCTGTGGTGGAAATAGAGGACGATAAAGATGAAGCACGCCACATGCGGCTGCGCCACCGCCTAGGCACGAGTTTTCAGAGCGTACCTAAAAAATATTTCGTAGAAATTATCTCTGACCAGGAAAGGGTCATTAGGCCAACCCGGCCAAATGAAATGAGGTGCACATTTCTGTACGCAGCATGAGACGCTGAACTCAAATCTGCTTTCACTATCTGCTGAACTCTTCTCTGAAAGGAGTTACGGAGGGTTTTTGTTGCCGCCCTTGATTTTTCAGTGTTTTACCTGCAATCACATGTTAGCCGCACTACAAAAGTATCGAAAGGAGAACCGATGCACTGGTGATGTGAGCCTAGGTAGCGCAGTTGGTAGCGGTCGTGTTCACGGAGGGGTCGGGGGTTCGGTCCCTCACGGGGTTTGTTGTTTTGCTTTTTTTCCAACATGGCTGAAAAGCCTTTTTGAATCTGTTATTTTACCAATGGTCGCCCGACGCTACATCTACGAAGAGTTTGCAAGCTGACCCTCTTAAACTTAAGCACTACTTGTCTGTGAAAGCCTATGGTGCCCGTAGTGCAGGTGCTATGCTTTTCCGTGGCAAGTAGGTATGATATTCGTATTCAGGGGATCAAACTACCCCTTACAGCGAGTTTTTCGCCAAATCTGAGGCGACGAAATAATTGAGAAAAAGCGGGGCAGTGATGGGATTACCACTCCTCAAACTCCACTTTTTTGGGTTGACCAATCATGGACGACGGGGGAAGGGGGAGAGAAGGTGTTGTATTAGGAAATAATGGTTTGTAGATCTTTGGATGATGCAGACGGGCAAGCCAGACACAATTTTCGTCTATTATGAAAAGTTTTTAAAAATTTATTCTACAAGTGCCAGCCTTTTGTAATGGATTGGTGGATCGGTGAGTAAGTGACTGCCCAAATTTTCGAGGTTAGGGTCAAAATTTCAGAATTCGCTAGAAGTTCGCTCAAAGGGAGAGTCTGACTCCCTGATTACGAATATCATACTTGTTCGAAGCAAAAATGCCTGGCGCCTGCGCTACAAGCGCCCAAAGTGGTGAGGAGCGGTGCCGCCCAAGTTCATTATTAATTGCCCTCAAATTCTTTTTACTGTTAACTATACGCAAGCATGTCGGACTAGCAATGTTAGGAGTCTTCCTAGCTATCTTACTGCAAACGGCAAAAGAACAAACTCGCCAGGGAGTTGATCCCCTGACCTCTTTTTCGTGAGCCTCGACCACAGCCCCTGCGCTTTTCTGCTTCATAATTCCTTTCAGAGAAGAGTTCAGCAGATAAGGAACACATATTTGAGCTCAGCGTCCCAAGGCGCGTACACACATATACATCTCATTTCAAATGGCCGGGTTGACCAAATGACTTTGCCCTGCGTAAGAACACAGGTGAAATTCTTTCTAAGAAAAAGCACGACGAACTCACACCAAGCGTGTTGAGACCAAATCCACGCACGTCTTGCTGACCACCCAGGTACATTCGGTCCAGCAGATGGATTTCGCGATCTCCCAAACCTTTCACGTTTTTCAACTGAGCCGATGCAGAGAGGTGAGGGAAAAGGGCGAACGAGAGCGGCGGCTGCAGCAGCCTTGTTTCAATGGATTAACGACGATCGCGAGGGTAGCGGTTGTGCAGGGAAGCGGAAATGAATGAAGTATACAGGAATGCTGAAACCAGGAAGGTTTACCTACTACTTCTTGGTTTTCGACTTACATGCTGTCGGTTTAATCACACACGCCTTCACACCTATCAAAAAAAGATAAAAAAAATATACCTGCAAATCTATTTGATGCCTTATGAATGAAGAATCACCAAACGGCCCAGCATATTCTTGAGTTAATCGAGCTTAATGTTCAAGTTCATCAGTCATAAAACCTCTAACACCTCCTTGCCGAAAAAGTTTGTATGGCAGATAATGCATAAACATATGGTCAAGATGTCACAAAAATGGACCGTTACGCATCAAAAACCTACCAAGTATTCCTTTAGAAGCAAGTATAGGACGATCTCGGCTATCAAATCCGATGGCATTTTCTATTGAGAATTTTGTGGTGTGACCGGCATGTTCACGAACGAGAAACGCTGCATCGTCTGTAGCCCGAAGTGTTCTCCATAACTGAAATACCCATTATCACATCATCGCAATGATCGAGAGAGTATGTGAAAGGCTTCAACTAACCGTATTGAACTTAATTTGATGCAGAATATTTTTCGATATTCGTCCATTATAGCCGAAAATTATGGCGTTTTCCTCACAGTTGGAATGATTCCATGGCAAATACGAAATCGCTCTGAAAAGGGCGCATTTTAGCTCAGATTATGGTATTTTCGATTGGTAACCTTCTAACCTGAAAGCACTAAGCCTGTGACATTTGAGTACTTTTGCCAACCCAGGAAAGGCTTCGCGAAAGAGAGGTTGAAACTGTGGTCCCCCTAAAGTTCCGAATCAAATGTACGAGTGACAAATCTCAACATACAAGGTCACACACAAGGACAAAATAGGAAACGTGTTAGTTAACGATGCAGCATCAATGAAAAAACCCACTTTGACCGTGTACGTGTAACTAGAATTGATCGCTTTCACCACGTCCTCCAACGCTTTGCTTGCCAGCATTCAGTGACATGTCAGCATCGCCATTTGTACTTATACCAGCTTTCAGCCCCAAACTAAACGCCTAGAAATATTAGAAATAGCAAATCACTCGCCCGTTCCAGTTATTCAGCAGGAGAATGAGATACTTTGTCACGCAAAGAAAATTCACATCACTGTGATGAAAGAAGTCGCACAACTTGCTTCTCCCACTAATTTTCAAACTCCGCCACTTACATAATGGGGCATAACCTGGACTGCTTTATATCAGATGGATTCTGAAAGAGTTTAGACCTATACAGACAATTGAGCAGATTTTTCTCTACAATCATTCTAGAGATGCTCTAATTACACCCAGAGGAAGAGAAGAATTTGGGGATAAAGGAAAAAACCCAGCCTTAGCGGGAACATAGCAACTACGCCACTTTCTGTTGCTCTAGGTTTTCGTTTTTTGAGGAGGTAGAAAATTTTTTTGAGAAGGTAGAAAAATAGAGACGAAAGCCTTAGAGACTCACCTTCGGTTCTTTGACTACAAAATTGACAATATAACCATTACTGGACGGGGCAACGTCAATCAAAGGCACGGCACTCTCCATTAACCCAACTTCCTGGAAGCAGACCTTTCAGAAACAGTCAGGCTATGCCAGCTCTTCGAAAGCCTTCTACAGCTGCAAATCAACATTACCTGGAAATGCTTTGCGGCAAGATGGGAATTATGAACGAGTTCATCTAGCGTTGAACTCCGATACAACTCAGAAACCTAAAACATTAACCAATCAGAAAAAAATGTTTGTACTGTTGCTACACAGATAAAGTCCAGATTGCGTTGAAACCTGAGTAAATCAGCAAAAGCTTCAACTTTTCTAAATCGCGTTACAGTAAAAACGCGTCAAAGGTTAATTCAAGACACGCCTGATCAGTCTTACTTGTACAGTAGGAGAAACTGCTCGAGAATCAACTCTACACCTACTTATTCCCTTGAGGATCGATGAGCCCTTTTAGGCTAACCAGAATCACTGCCGGTGTACTTGGGTTTGAAAGCTCTCACAACGGCCTGTGATGGCATGGTAGAGACCAGACGAAATAGTGCATGCCCTTCTGTTTTTATCCTACCACTGATGAATTACTATTGACCCCATGCGTTTTCCCGTTATGACTTTTCTTAATCAGTGCTGCTCATTTTTCGGCAGCACTGGTTATTTTGGCTACAATTTCTAAAAAAATAGCAGTGTTTATTTCGTTCGCGTTTGGCAACAATAAGGTGTCTCTGTTGAACTCATGAACAAATAAAAGGATAAATAAAATTCACGATGCTACTCCACATGAAAGAAGGTATCCGAATGTCATAAGTCAGAAAAAATGAATAATCACCTCTTTCACTAGCGCATCATTTTTCGTTATTCGTATCCCATGGAATTGTACCGCTTCGACCACTGTTGGAGCGTCACCCGCTCGCCCCAGCAGTACCGAGGCCTGAAATTGTTACTAGATAAGTAAATAAACAGCGAACGATGAGGTTGAGGATTAAAATTGATCTCTTTCGATTCTGATGGGAACAATAAGAGAACATAGACTCAACCCATTAGGATGGCGACTAATAAATGTAGGGTCAAGAAAATATCTAACATAAGAATAAAAACACCTACTACCAGAAACGCTGTGAAATTTTGCGAAATGACAAAATGTGAAAATACATCAATAATTCAGACGAAAAAAAATTGGTGCATTGTGTAATACTCGGTGAATTTTTGAATGGACTCAAGTGAAAAAGCGAGGTAAAAATGATAAAATGAATAAACTCATTGGTGTCTGTAATGAAGACCATGGAACAAACGTACCTTATGAAACGTCTTGTCACCCATGTATCACCAGATCCACACGGGCCACCAAATCTGAGGATTATTCAAAATTGGATTGCATTTAAGAGGAGCCATTAAAACGTTGCCAATACAATGTCTCACGTTTAAACGTAATACGCAGTGACATATGTTAAAGGAAACCTTTATTTCAACATTCCAACATTGTAACAACATTAACGTAATCAATAATTCAACAAATTACAAGCAAAGAACATAACACGCATCACTAACTCGCAAAACACCGGAATCGCCTCAACAATGAATTGGAAAAAGTTCTGTGCACATAATACTTGACTTCTAGCCACATGCATTCCGTGTAGAAATTAGTTTACCCACGAAGAACATTGGCATCTTCAGCATTCTCTTGCTCCACACCCCCGAGGTGAATACGCTCTCTTATGGGCGGATCTAACGTGGGATGTACGCTTAGTACCTCCATTTTATCGGAAATCTGGAAAATTATTTTTTGAAAACTGACAGCAAACATTTTCGATCAGTTGTGAACATGGCTGCCAGTCCAGATTATACCTCATTCGACTTTCTCTGCTTTTCTTGTTCATCCAACTTCGATTTTTCCGCTAGAACACGGGAATACATCGGGACGTATTCATTCTTATATTGTTCCACGCACTCGCCAACTGCTTTCATGAACTCATCCATGCCCTCACCAGTTGCCGAAGAAACCGACACTAAAATTATAGCATGCAATACAATATGTTCCGAAACAATATGGAACACTGAGTTTCACAGGAATGGTAGCCAACTATTCGAACAGCAGCATTAGAGCAGTTGACCTCCGAATCAAAATGAGACAGCACGTTGCATAATTGATTAGGAAGATTGACTCCGTGAGAAAAGGAGTCCTAGTGTATATGCCGGCTTAGCCTTTCATCTATTCGTTTGTCATGAAATTCGGGACTATGATACACGAATAATGATCTGGGGAGACCGGATCAAACTGGGAAGGGGTGTCGCGTGGGCATGGATGTACGGGGTATGCATGGTTGAGTGGAACACATCCATGGTAGGGAGGTACGCTCCCCGAATGGGTGGCACGGAAGGCAATCCTATACTATTTCAGCGAAGGCTGGAAAGACACAAAAACAAAAAGAACAAGAAAAACAAGAAAAAATGGGGAATGGTGTGCAACAAGTGCCAGGTTGGATAAGGGAAATGCAAAAGTGGAAGAAGAGTAAATGGGCGCGTCTGCAATGCGAATTCTTGAGTTAAGAGCTATCTAGAAATCATTACATTTCGAGTCGCGAGAAAGGTGCAAAGGGTGAAACAAAAAGTGAATGAACTAACAAAGCGGGTTACGGTCAAACGTTGATGACGTGCAGAGTGGAGCAATCATGTGGGGCGTCGCACCGAGATGGGTGAAAATAATTCATCAGATTTCCGCGGTAGCCCTCCTTCGTCCATTTAATGTCAGCTGATCCGATGAATAGCATCAGGCGCGCAAAAACGTGCGAAGCCTAATTGGTGTTCTAATAAATGACGATAGTGACAATGAGTGCTAGCAATTGCAAGTGAATTTTCTATATAACGAGGATCAAGGTGTCAACAGCCCAAGCCTGCTGTTAACAGCACGCAACGCAGATAGCGTACCCGTGCCTTTGGCTATTTCCAAGATACCAGCCCTCCCGATGGTTCGGAGCTTGCGTAGGGTGGGTGCTGATCCAATCGTTGGATTAAACTGATACCATGCCATTCTGGCTACAACTTCAACGGAGGATAGACCCTGACTAAGGCATTGACTGTCCGCATATGGAATCTATAAAATGTCCGTTTTAAAAATATCGAAACGGGTTCGAGCAATCGAAAATCCCTCTATCCTGAAAGGAAAATGAAAGCCTGTGTTGGATATCCTGATATTACCTGTCTTGAGATCTGAATAAAATTCCTGCATACCAGAGCAATGAGCGACTGAGGGGTCGTATGCAGTATATTGAACTTCGATTCGTTTCAGCAGGCTGGTGTGCGAGACGTGCTCAAAATCTCGCAGGTGCGAGAGCTGCCGGTGGGTGACGAAAGGGGCGGGTGGAGGACTATATTGGCCGGGGTAATAACTCACTTGGACGTGTGAGATCTGAGGATCTGCAAACAAATTAAATGTTCGCAATAGTTCAAAAGGGGCGGAGAGGCGGAGTGCGGGTACGTCGGCGCGCATGTTAAAGGACCTCAGAAACTTTAAGCGGAACACATGGGGATACGTCGATGAGTGTGGAGGCGGGCGTGAGATCGGAGGTGTCAAGCCTAGGGAGAACGACGACTTGTCAAAACAGGTCCCCCCCGCTTTAATATAAACTTTCCATCGTGGGAGGGGCAGACTTTGCAGCTGGGCATAGTATGAACAATACGAACAGAGTAGGCCAGGCGTGATGGGTCATTCTCTAGGTGTGTCACGCTGGAGTGGCTGCGCAATACATTAGTTATGCAAACCAACTCAGTTAAGCTCAGATTAAATACCCATTTCAGCTAAATTGAAAAACAGGTTTCATTATTAGGTACGAATACACTCATCCAATAATATTCAAAATAAAAACTTACCTTATTGAATACAACAATGAATGGGAGTTTAGTTCTGTACAGAATAGAGCAAGCGTAGAGCATATTTGACATGAAAGTCGTGGGATTTGTTGCACGTGCCGAATCAACAACATAGACGACTATCTTGAAATCACAGTTTATAAGTTCGTGAGTACTGGCCCAATATGATATAATTGAAGGGATGATATAAAATGACCGCATAATAATACATATACATATAGGGACCACATTTCATTAAGTATGAAAGAGCACCTAACACGGCAGCCTTGGATAGGATCGCTATGGAAAGGGTAGGTGCTAAAACCCAGAGCCAAAACGGGCTGCCAAAACGAAGAAGAGATCACATGGCGATTCTCCTTTGTAGACACTTGCATCCGATGCTCATACCGACTTTCTGATAGTGCAAGCAAGTAAGATCAAATGCGACGTCACCATAGCGAGGTGAGAAGACACCACCTGTGACATGCTGTTTGAAACTAGAGAAGACTGTAGCTTATAGAATATTCGGCAAAAAGATGCGATGTAGGCAGTGGTGCCCACGTCAAGATGCACTTCGTCATATGGTCACATAACATCCGCATGACAATCCAACCGAATATCTGACATTCTGCATAAAGAAGGTGTGAGTCGACTCCGGTTTCAACAGTCTCCCTCGTCCACTCACCAATACTGATACACGACGAGAAACTATATGCGAAAGCATTCTTTCGCATATAAAACTGGAGAAGTTTTACAAAGATAAGGTAGCTGCCGGTAGCTTCAACACAAAACCAGACCGGGGTTTATTTCAGTTAGCATGGGCGGAAGTGGTGTAGTGACAAGTGGCACGCTTACCACGCGAGCGGTCCGGGATCAAATCCTGGGTCGTGAGTCGCCCGGGCCAACCAAGCCTTCCATCCCTCCGGGGTCGGTTAATTGGTACCAGACTTGTCTGGGAGGATAAAAACACTGACTTGTACATCGGCTGGCCCCCGCAAGTCATTGTATAGGCCACATCGCATTCAAACGCCACTACGAATGTACAAATGGAAGTAGAATGCGTGCCGCATCCCAAAAAGGGATTGATCAACGGCAAATGCTTTATCCTTTATCCTTTATCCTTAAGCATTTGAGCAGTTCCTCTTTGAACTAGTGTGATCTCGAAAATCGCAGCTTCTCACATGTTAAGTGACTGCCCTCACCCCCATCCCCAAAGAATGGCTACATTACCCTGGCTGGAAGCTACCCTAGCTTTCTGAAAAAAAAACTGCATCATGATGCCTCCCCTACTGGAATCGACCCTCAGACCGAGTGAAACGAACAAGGATGTTCTCTTCGGGATTCACGGACGGAGGACTGAGGAAACCTAGTGAAACACTATCTGGGTTCAACACATCCATGGCACTCACAGTTCCAGAACCCCCTTAATGGGCTTGACTTTGGAGCAATTCGTTGGAATGAGGTGCAATAATGAAGATGGATTACACCTTCCATAGAGAGGTTCGCTGATCGGCATAGCCATCGCAGGATTTCTTTTACGTCTTCAGACTATAGGAAAGATTTCGTTGTCGAGAATACGAAAAAAAAAAACAATCTACTAAATACTGCTTAGACGCCTCCTTTACAAAGTCAGGATGGCAGCAAGCTTCGAATCTTCATGAGACGACTATCTTCCCAAGCTCTTGAGCCGATACCTAGCTAGCAAAGCTATGATATGAGCGATAAGGGGACACCTCAAGGAGATGAGACCAGCAAAGCAGGATGAACACACAGGGAGGAGCATTGCATTGACCGCTGACTCATCGGCCATAGGCAAAAGCGCTACCCTGCGGACGTCGGAATGAACAACTGCGGCGCCAAAAACAACAATGGAGAATGTCATTCACGACGTTTACTGTGGTCTCTTGAAGGTCATACCACCTGTATGTGTGCCGTTCAAAGCGTGAACGATTCAAGGTTCCTTGAGTTTTTTTTTCTGAAGTCTAGCAAATTGTTGCTGTAAAACTGCGCAACACTGAATTCTAATTCCGAGAGGAGAAGAGACCGGAACACCTCTAGAACACCCGTACCACCAGCCGTGTCCAAGCTCTATCGACTCCCCACGCATTACTTGTCGGAGTCGGAATGGAAAAAACGCCAGAGGCCAGCTGTCTAGAATCCACACACTTCTTACACACCTTTGCCAGAATTTGCAGAACATTAAATAAAGAACGCGATGCGAAAGTTTCAAAAGAGATTCACTGCGACTCATCATGACCACACGGTTACGAAACGCTAAGGTTTCACGTACACAGGTCAGGAAATCAACACCATGAAGGACTAAGATCTAGAGTTGATCAAAAGCATACGAGAGAGGGCGTTCCAGAACATTGGAGGGAAGGGAGGGGGAAGGGGGGGGGGGTAGGTGAAGGGGAGAAACAGCCGGCTCCTTCAACATCTCTTTGATTCTGCAGTGATTCCTGCCTTAACTTACGCCGCATAGACTTGGGTTCAGCGGAAGCAGCGTGAGCATGCAGGCAGCATTATCCAGCGCACTGTGGATAAGGAAATGCTTAGAGCCCAGAGTTCTGTCATCGATCGGAGATCAGGGGCGCTTTCGTTTTCGTCAAGGAATCCAGAAGCAGGAGAGTCGAAATAACATGATTCTGCGTGATCGCTGCGCCAAAACGGCAACCGACAGGGCCTCTCAAACGTGAAAGGAATACCAAGACATCCATCGTTTACTGGATACAATGTACAATGGGAGATAGGAGATACGGGCGAAAACATTAGCGACCATTCAAAAAATAGTGAACTGATAGCATTTCTTCTTTCATGACAAAAGTAAAGATTTTGAGATCACGATCGCGCCAGAGGGCACAAAATCGTGGAAGAAAGGAGTAACCCGTCACACAGACCATGAATGAATACGTAACACTCACTGTAGGATGACTACTTGCTAACGAATCTGTAATAATTGAACCGCTAGCGCTCCATGTGAAGGCCTCAATCTGACCCGGAGTGTCGATTAAACATGCACTGTACTGATTTGCTCGCTGACGTATCATGGCCAACACCTAGAATTAAGAAATGCTGCGTCAGGTCAAAACATTCGTAGTAAATCTCACCTGATCGAATTTGGTACACATCAAATTCAAACTAGTTATGATTGCGCCATTAGGTCCCAAACCATAATCCTTCATTACTTGCTTGTATTTCACTGTATCGCGTATGTCGATGTTCACCGGATAAGGAACCTTGAAACACCAAACAACTTACACCAGAATCCTTTAACAAAGCCAACTTTGTAAAACAAACATTGGCACATGCTGGATCAAGATTGATCACATATGGTGGCGTTTTTCTCGCATGTAGGTACGCAGTGAGACGCTGAATTCGAAGAGAATTGTAGTTTATAATAA